AAAAAAAAAAAAAAATAATAACATATGTTGCCAGATGCCGTGGCCTAAGGTCTTGACACTTGGCAGGCTGAGACAGGAGAATTGCCTGAACCCAGGAGTTTGAAGGTGCAGTGAGCAATGGTCACACCACTGCATTACTGCAGTACAGCCTTTGTAAGAGTGAAACTCTGTCTCTAAAAAATAAATAAGTATGGCCGGGTGCAGTGGCTCACCCCTGTAATCCTACCACTCTGGGGCGGTGCCCCTATTCAGTGGGTAGGGCGCTGGCCACATACACCCAGGCTGGAGGGTTCAAATCTGGCTGGGGGCCAGCTAAACAACAATGACAACTGCAACAAAAAAAATAGTTGGGTGTTGTGGAAGGTGCCTGTAGTCTCAGCTACTTGGGAGGTTGAGGTAAGAGAATCACTTGAAGCCAAGAGTTTGAGGTTGCTGTGAGCTATGATGCCCTGGCACTCTACTGAAGGCCACAAAATAAGACTCTGTCTCAAAATGAATAAATAAATAAAATAAAATAAAAATAATGTATTGAGGCTGGGCACGCTGGCTCACACCTATAATCTTAGCACTCTTGAAGGCCGAGATGGATGGATCACTTGAGCTCACAGGTTCGAGACCAGCCTTGAGCAAAAGTGAGACCTGTCTCTAAAATAGCTGGGTGTTGTGGTGGGCGCCTATAGTCCCAGCTACTGTGGAGGCTGAGGCAAGAGGATCACTTGAGCCCAAGAGTTTGAGGTTGCTATGAGCTATGATGCCACAGGACTCTACTGAGGGCAACAAAGTGAGACTGTCTCAAAAAGAAAAAAAAAAAGCGGATTTTGTTTGAATTGCACAAATAGCATATGTCTATTCACTGAAAAAAATTAACATACGAAAATGAGAAAATTAAAACTACTTGAAAATAATAATAATATATAAATACAGAGGGGGGGGGAATAATCCTACAAGCTGGAAGTAATCACGGTAAAGATTTGGCTGTAATTTTCTTCCAGTGCTGTCCCTATGCACATCTACACGGTAAGAATATACTCTTACTGAGAGAGGCCATACTGTTGGTGCTGCTTTTACACAGCTTGTTTCGCTGCAGTGGACAGTGTGTATTCCTTGCTACAGCCGTCTAGAGTGCTGTTGGTCTCTCTCTTCCCAGCACCTAGGCCTGGCCTGCTCTATGGTCACTGACATCCAGGACATTCCTCTCTCTGTACTCCTTTCCCCCTCTAGGGAAGCCCCTGAAGCCCATGGTTGCACCAATCCCCCACTTCTCTGGAGCCTAATCAGCAAGAAAGAGGTTCCCAGGGCCGTCTGTGGTCTCTTCCAAGGAAGGAGGGGTTTTGTCTAGAGGTGGATTGCCCCTAGCTGACATCTGGTCCAGGAGCTCTTGTTCCAGACACCCTTGAGTTGTTTGTTGGGTTTTGAGTGTCTGTGAAGAGGTCTTGAACACGTCGGTTCATTCATTTATTCATGGAGCAATTAACCTCAGGAGCAAGACTGTCTCAGGCTCAGACATTGGCCTCCCAAGGGACATAAAGACCAATGAAGGGAATCTCTTTAGAAGGTGCAGACCGTACTTGCTGTGTTTCCAGCGGCCTGGCCGCAGGGGCGTCCTCTGAACACATCCCCTGGACACTCCAGGCTCACACCCCCAACCCTTGAGTTTGGGGGAGAACTAACGAAATCGTAAGAGCTGACTTGCTGGGACTTGTCGCCCATGCAGTTCTAAGTTCGCTGCAGCTAATAACGTCATCAACCCGTGCAAGACCCAACGAACAGATGCTATTATATGCCCTACTTTTCAGATGAACAAACTGAGGCTTACAGTTATGGATAACACAAAACCTTGGGGCTGAATCTGGGGTATAGAAATTGTGACCTCGTCCCCCTCTTCCTTCCTCCAGGTGGTAGTGACCCGTCCCGCCCCCCTCAAGGGGAGGGAAGAAGGAATGAGGGCCCCGGAGAAGGAACCTAGGAGCTGCAGAGACAAGGTGGAGGAAACTGCCCCAACTAGGAGAGGCCTCGGCTCCGGCACATCTGCAGGAAAAGCCTTCCCCCGGGGCCCAGTGCGGAGGAGCGCGTAGAGGGGCGGTGCGGCACCGCCCCTGGGGCGGGCCCAGTGCGTGGCAGAGGGACCGCCTGCCCCGTCGCGAAGTTTCCAGTTCTGGGATCCTCCAGGTCGGCTGATCGTCCCAGTCCCCGGCCATGCGGCCCCTGCTGCTCCTGGCCCCGCTGGGCTGGTTGCTCCTGGCCGAAGCGAGAGGCGACACCAAGCCGGAGGGTGAGGGCGCGGCGGCCGGGTCGGGGAGGGGGGCTGGAGCTGTCTCGGTAACGACCGATCTGAATGGGAGGCCCGGGCTGAGGAGGGAATCTGGGTTCCGGCTACTTGTCCACTTACTGGCTGGTGAATTGGACAAATCACTTCCCCTCTTGGGGCTGCAGTTCCTGCATTTATGTCCTGGGGAGGAGGAGGTGACAGCTGAAATCCCATTCAGCAGAGAGAGGCTCAAATGACATTGGTACTCCAAATAAAACCCAACAATGGCTGCTATTTGTGAGGTCCCTACTATGGGCCAGGCACCAGGTAAATATGATTGTGATTGCTACCTTTGGAAGTGTTTCCTTCCATTATCCCCATTTTCCAGCTGGGCAAACTGAGGCTCCAGAGTTTATCTACTTTCTCAAGGCCACACAGCTTGTGAGCCTTGGAGACAGGAGCCACACCCCCCACCTCCAGCCCAGCTTAGAGCCTCATGACCTCACCTTGGTGGGGGGAGGAGGGTAGAGGTAGAAGGTATGAAGTTTGCACTTTGATGAAAGCGTGTCCCTTGCAGTCTGCTTAACTCCCTGCCAGGCTGATCATCTTCTCCTTAACTCACATCAGGAAACTGAGGGTTGTCTTGCAGTGGAGTGGGCTGTCTGAGGTCAGCTGGACTCCCAGTCTAGTGCTCCTTCTGCTTCTTCAAGGCAGCTTGGATTTCATAGTGTGCCCCACTGTCCTGAGTGGGTGCTAATCTCCTCCCCAGCCCTCCCTGGCATGGGCCACCCACAGGGCTGCCCCAAAGAGGGCATAGACTGTGGACAGTCGCAGCGAAGCAGAGCCACACTGTCCCTCCCTGACACCCTCTTTCCCTCAGCTTGCCTTCCTAGAGAGCTTGGAAGCTGTGTACCACCAGAAGGAACCCAGGCTCTGTGACCCTTGGGCCAGGGGAAAGGATAGGAGCCATTATTTCTTTTTTTTAATTTTTTTCTTTTTTTTTTTTTTTGAGACGGAGCCTCAAGCTATCCCCCTGGGTAGAGTGCCATGGCATCACACTCACAGCAACCTCCAACTCCTGGG